GAAAGGGGAGGGTGGTGGGTGGGAGGGATGGTATGGGGGGGAAAGCCATTGTAACCCATGAGACGTACTTTGGAAATTTATATTCATTAAATAAAAGATAAAAAAAAAATAAAAAAAATAAAGTAATGCAAAACAAAAAAAAAAAAAGAAAATGGATCAGTTGCCAACGTTTAGCATTTGTACACAAATGGTATGTATATGTTAGAATCTTGAAATCAGACATGCTAATTCTAATACTTTTAGGGTTTAAAAAAAAAAAACCTGAGTATAGTGCAAATGTCGCAGTGCCAAGGGCATCCTTCGCCAGGGCAACTCATTAGTTAAACAGTTCTCATGGGCTGAGTTCCTATAAAATCAGATACAGATAAAGGATTGCATTCAAGTAGCTTGTTTAGGAGAGCATTCAGGGAAGCACCAGTTCAGGAGTGAAACAGTGAGACTAGGCCAATTTAGGATCTATAAGGGACTCATGGACAGGCTCCCTGTAGACAAAGGGGGCATGATCCCACTGGATAACACAAGGTGGCTGTGTTTTACTAGCTCAGTGTACGTACTTGAGCAGATGGAACAAGGGGCTTTTATCCTGTAATTCTCATCATTCTGGGCTGAGTTGTGGTCCCAGGGACATTAATTTGCAGGTCCATCTAAACTGCCCAAGCACTGGTTAAGCAAAAGCTTTCAGCTACAGAGTCCCAAGCTCATGCATCAAGACACCAGTGGAATTTAATGAAAGTGGGAGCCAAAGGGATAGCAAAGGGCATCAGTGATATTATGAAGAGTTTTTTCCTAAATATGGTATAGTGAGAAAGGCATAAGAAATGGCAAGAACTGTAGACCAATGTCATAAATGTAAATCAAAACATATGTAGAGGGGGCCGGCGCTGTGGTAGAACGGGTTAAAGCCCTGAAATGTAGTGCCAGCATCCCACATGGGTGCCGGTTCGAGTCCCAGCTCTCCACTGCTGATCCGGCTCTCTGCTATGGCCTGGGAAAGCAGTAGAAGATGGCAGACATTCCTAGGCCCCTGCACTTGTGTGGGAGACCTGGAGGAAGTTCCTGCCTCCTGGCTTCAGAACGGCTCAGCTTTGCCTTTGTGGTGATTTGCCAAGTGAACCAGCAGATGGAAGACTTCTCTCTTTCTCTGGCTCTACCTCTCCCTGTAAATCTGTCTTTGAAATAAATTTTTAAAAATTCAGAAGCAAAATCATATGACAGATAATATTTATACCCTAGGCATTGAAACCAATGTACTTACCGATATTTCCCACACCAATAAGGTTGTGGGCTCTTGCCATGAATTCAGAGAATTCTGAATATTGGCTCAAACAGCCAGGCAGCATGGTAAGCTTTTAAAGGTTTTTGTTTAGTGAGGGAAATGCTCTATCTAAGGGAGAAAAGGAAATCTGGAAATTAAGCTGGGGCCACAGCGAGCAAAGAAGAGACCAGGAGCCACGTGCAGCAAGCGTTAGGTTATGAGCAGCTACGAGCAGCGTCAAGCAGCTTAGCAGGGGTAGCGAAGCAAAGGCAGAAAGAAGGAGGTCTGAAGAAGGGGCAAAAAGGGCAATAAAGGCAAAGAAGGGGAGAAAGGGGAAAAAGGAAAAAGGGCCGGGCACACTGTGTTCCAGGCCTTTTATCCATTTCCAAAGGGTAGTGGTTTGTAGTCTGATTAGCAGGTGGGCGTAGAGGTGGGGTCAGATAAGGGCATGAGATCATACAGGGACATGGTGAAGGTGTGGTGTCCAGCTCACAGACCTTATCAGTTTTATCCTATCTGCCTGCCTACATCAGCATGATGTCAATTCATGTTAATTCAACACCAGTATACAGTGTCTTGAGCAGAGAGGCAAATAGAGTGAGGACTAGGGATAAAAGAAGGAGGCCCTATAGGAACTGATGAAGAAAGCATCACAAACTGGGAGTGGGATTAAAACCTTGTACCTTCTTCTTTGCTCTCTTCTACATTTCTGGATCTGCTTTTCCTGGACCTTATCCAACTATCACCTCCACCTCTCTCGATGGGGGAAATCTGGCTTCAAGTTCCCAGACAGCAGGAACCCTGTGTAACACAAAGGCACAACTCTCAGCCTTGGCATGGAACCAGCAGATAGTGCTTGTATCTCTCCACATTTTAGTGAAAAAAAGCCGACCAAGAGGTCCACTTGGGCAACCAGAGGCCCTGTGACTACATTTCCCAGAGTTCACAGTGCTGACTCTTACTGGATTTGGAGGTGGGGAGATCTGGAACACAATAAAAGAAAGTCCTCTGCAGATGTGAAAGTGAAAGAATAGCATTCAGCCCGGTTCCTGATTGCAGGTCCTGGAAACCTGGTAAGTGGAGCTCCGTGACTGCAGGGTTATGAGATCTGGGTTTAATTCTATCTTACATGTGAGTCCAGAGGCCAGATTGTTCACCTTACCAGAATTTCAGGTCTAAGGCTGTTCAGAAAGTATGTGTGGTCCACATTTGGAGGACAATGCCATAACTACTATACAGCATAATGATGAATGTGGAAGAATCTTCTTTCATCCCCCTGGCTGAGTCACGGCTCATGAGAACATGAGCAAATCATTTAGCTTTTTAAAACTATTTTTCCATCAGCAAAATGGAGTTAGTTATAGTGCCTACTTAAAAAGTTTGCCATAGGGATTAAATATGTGTATTAAGAGATAACTAGTGTGTTTAAAGGAACCTACTTGCCTGGCTTTCCCTCTTGGGTACTTGTAACAGTGCTGTCCACCCTCTTCTTTGCTTGACAGGATACATCCCAAAGGACCATGTCTTGCCGGCACTTCCTGATCAGAAATCCTTTAGCAATCCCAAATGTCTGGGGAGGTTGAATTGTGTGGTCTGAAGACTGTTTCAAGAGGAATTCCTTAGGAAATTTTTCTGCAGAAGGAGTCATAGTGGGAGGGTCTCCAGGACACACAAATATAATATCAACTATTCCACCATCCCTCTGACTGAGGGTGTCCTCCTCCCTATGTGGTCTATAGAAGGGACTCTTTCTAGGCCAATGGCATGTAATGGGCTTCTCCTGTGCTCTGATATCATGCCCACCACATCTGGACATTGTTAGTCATAGCTGACTCAACTCTCTCCCTCACAATGAACTCTCCTGCTGCATCCTGCTCCCAGGCCTATATTGTTTGACTCTTACCTTCTTCAAATGTAGAATTGTTTCCCTTTAGATTTCTTTTCTGACCTCCTACATGTTAATGTGCATGGCCTGCCTGGCCACTACAAGCATTTCCTAGGAGCCATGCTGAGACACAGGTCTTCTGCACACTACAGAGAGCTGAATAGGGTCTTCAGGTATGGCTATCCCAACCATCCCCAGCCATGGGGATTGTCAAAGTGGAGGGGACTGGGTGGTGGTGTTAATTGAATGGAATGCCAAGCCCTTCACTTTCACATAGATAAAAGAGGTGAAAAGGGACAAGAGAAGGAAAATACCACACGGAGAGAAAGAAAAGCCACTTATTAGTCTCCATATCTTCTATTCTGGAATGCCAGAAATCTGTGCCGAAGGAATGAAACAGTCAGCTCAGTCTATAGTCGCATTTGTGTTGCTCAGAGTCCTTAAGATACGACGGCAGGATCTCATGGTCCTCCTGCCTCTGGATCAATCTGCTTTGGGTATCTAGTGTTTTTCCCAATTCATCTCCTGTCTACTTCATTTTATCATAAAGCAAACATGAACATAAAGGCAGTCTCAAAAGGGAAAGTCCTGTGAAATGCAACAACTACAAACTATCCTGACAAGTGTTTCCTTTCATTACTCAATGAAGAAGTAAATAGAAATGAAAAATAAGTCGAGCGGTGATGATAAAGAATTGCTAGCATTGCGTCTTTATTACAGAGCAAAGAGTAGAATGGTTCTGAGAATTATGGCTACTGAATAAGCTGTTCTGGCTTAAGTATAAATAGAAATATGAATTTAAAGTTAAATCTGAAGACAGAGAAAATCCAGATAAAAGCATTTGTAGTTCAAGTGGTTGAATTCTAATCCAGTTGTGTCAACATCAGAACTAATAAAGGTAAACTAAAGCATATTAATGATTTAAAAAGTATTGATTTAAGTCAATAGCAACTCAAGTATTAAGCAACACCAGACTGCAGATAATAGTTCAGTGCCCTTCTCTAGGGAGGTGAGAGAGAAACTTTCCTGATATGTTAGCAGAAGCAAGATAAAGGAAATCTATTTGATTGGTTAGAGTGAAACGTCTCTAGCTAGAGGTTTACTAGTGGTTTCTGGTGGGTAAAGTCCAGTTTTGTTTTACAGTTTACATTGGGAGCCCAAAGTCCTGGAGCCATGCAGCTTACAGTCTCTTACCGACCTGATTTCTTCTTCCTTATGAAATATTTTCCTTCCATGCCAAATGCTCGAGAGGGTCTCTTAAATTTTTAATTTAAATAATTGAACATAAATACATTTCACTATCAAGCATGCTGACCCAGACTCCTGGAATCCCATCCCCCTTGCTGTGCTGCCTGTTTTTTTCTTCACTTCAGGATAATAATTTTTTATCTTTATTTTGGTTTTATTTTTGATATTTGAGAGATTCTTCATTTTTTATGTTTCAAAAACTACATTCTGTGTTTTAGAGAAAAGTCATAGTGTGTTTTTAAGTCTGTCTTTTCTGTTTTTTTCTAGAGTTTTGGCTGGGAAGATAAAATATCCCAAGTCACCTGAATTAAAACTGAAGATCAACCCTCCTTCAACTTACTAAGGTAGGAACTGAGTGCATTTCTTTGAGTCCTTAGTAGGCGACCTAAGTGTGTTCACTCTGCCTACTTAAGCCGTCTCTTTCAGGTATGATAAAGCTGTCAGGGAAGGATATATCCATGCAAAGAGATGATACAAATCACCATAAAAAGCTAACAGTGGTTTCACCCAGCCATTTTTCTGGCAACCGTTTTCCAAGAGATTTCTACATTTCAACTTGAAATATAAGATTTATTATGTTTAGTCAAAGAATATAGAAGTATTACTAAGGTATAACATGTAGCTAGTATCCAAGCCCTTAACAAAAACTGACTTCTTTTGAATGCACCTGTAGTTACAAAACCCCAATTCAATGTTTTATCTGACAAAAAAAATCAGAAGTAGGGAAGTGAATGTGGAGGAGGATGAAGAACAGAAGAGAGGGGGCAGAGAGAGACAAACACTTGAAAACATATTATAGCATTTAAAAGAAGAATAAAGTAAGCTCTATGGGCCAGCACTGTGGTGCAGCAGGTTACCACCTTGGCCTGAAGCACTGGCATCCCATATGGGCATCAGTTCTAATCCGGGCTGCTCCACTTCAATTCTAGCTCTCTGCTGTGGCCTGGGCAAGCAGTAGAGAATGGCCCAAGTCCTTGGGCCCCTGCACCCATGTGGGAGGCCTGGAAGAAGCTCCTGGCTACTGGCTTCAGATTGGCGCAGCTATGGGCATTGCGGCCAATTGGGGAGTGAACCCTCAGATCGAAGACCTCTCTCTCTCTCTCTCTCTCTCTCTCTCTCTCTCTGCCTCTCCTCTCTCTGTGTAACTCTGACTTGCAAATAAATAAATAAAAATAAATTAATAAAATAAAGTGTACTCTCAATTGAAAGGCTGATGGCCAGGTATGTATAAACCACCTTATTTTTTTGAGGTCTGCCTTCCCTTCCCTTCCTTTTATGCTTGGGGAAAATTCTGCTTTAGGGACTATAGAGGGTTTGGGGCAGTCTGAATGAATACCAGTTGTACTCGCTGTGCATGTGTGGTAGAGTTTCAGAGCTTGTCTAAATGAGAGGAAGGATAGTGATGCACTGTTAGGATGAGTAAGTCAATTGGATAGACCCAGGGGAAACATTTGAGGCATCAAGAATAGAGACTGAGAAAAACATTGGAAAATTGAAAGAATAGCTGGATCAAATGCAGAGCAGCTGGGGCTCAAACCAGACACCTTGATATTAGATGTGGGTGTCCTAAGCAGAAACTTAACTGTTATATCAAAGACTTGACCCATATTTTCAATTTTTTTTGTGTTTATTTGCTTCAGAGAGAGAGACATGTGCACACAATGAGAAAGAGAGAGAGAGGAACTCCCATCTACTGGGTTCACTTGGGATTCACTTCCCAAACACCTGAACCAGCCAGAGCTGGGCCAAGATTGGGCTGGGGCTGGGCCAAGCAGAAATCAGAAGCTGGGGGCTCAATCCAGGTCACCCATGTGGGTGGCAAGAACCAATTAGTTAAGCCATCACCACTGCCTCCAGGTCTGTAACCTGGGAGCAAGAGATGGCTATTGAACCAGGCACTCCCTTGTGGGACATATACATCTTACCAGAAGGCCAAACATCTGCCCCATATACATATCTAAATATGTTACAGCTATCATTAGCCTACCCTAGGATATCCACCTTCAAAAGTGATACAAGTTGGTTTTGTTCTCTTTTCCTTGTCTTAGGGTATCATGGATATTGAAGCATATTATCAAAGAATTGGTTACAAAAACCCAAGGAACAAATTGGACTTGGAATCACTAACAGACATTTTTCAGCACCAGATCCGAACTGTTCCCTATGAGAACCTTAGCATTCACTGTGGGGAGTCCATGGAGTTGGACTTAGAGGCCATTTTTGATCAAATTGTGAGGAGGAATAGAGGTGGCTGGTGTCTCCAGGTCAACTATCTTTTGTACTGGGCTTTGACTACCACCGGTTTTGAGACCACAATGTTAGGAGGGTTTGTTTATGGCAGTAATAATGACAAATACAGCACTGGCATGATTCACCTCATAGTACAGGTGACCATCAACGGCAGGAACTACATTGTCGATGCTGGGTTTGGACGCTCCTACCAGATGTGGCAGCCTGTGGAGTTAATTTCTGGGAAAGATCAGCCTCAAGTGCCTTCCATATTCCGCTTGAGAGAAGAGGGAGAAACCTGGTACCTGGACCAAATCAGAAGACAGCAACATGTTCCAGACCAAGAATTTCTTAATTCTGAACTCCTGGAAAAGAAAATATACCAAAAACTCTACTGCTTTACTCTTCAACCTCGAACAATTGAAGAATTTGAGTCTGCAAACACATATCTTCAAGAATCCCCATCATCTGTGTTTTTAGACAAATCAATTTGTTCCTTGCAGACCCCAGAAGGTGTTCACTGTTTGGTGGGCCTCACCCTCACCTCCAGGACCTACAATTATAAGGAAAATACAGATCTGGTAGAGTTTAAAGTTCTGACTGAGGAAGAAGTGGAGGGAGTGCTGAAAACTATATTTAATATTTCCTTGGGAAAAAAGCTTGTGTCCAAAAATGGTCATTTGTCTTTCACTATTTAGAGTACGAGGCAAAAAATACCTTCTATCTTAGTACAAGTACTTAAGCTTTTTATTATAAAAATGATCAAACATGAAAAATCACAGAAAATAGGATAATAAATTCATATGTATTTATCAACCAGATCACCAATTATTCACTGCTGACAGATAATATTCTCCCTACTCTCATATTGTTTTAATGAAAATCATAAACATCAATCTTGGTTGCTCTTCTTCCAGTCCAGCTCTCTGCTGTGGCCCGGGAGTGCAGTGGAGAATGGCCCAAGTCCTTGGGCCCTGCACCCACATGGGAGACCAGGAGAAGCACCTGGCTCCTGGCTACGGATCAGCTCAGTGTGCCGGCTACAGCAGCCCTTGGTGGGTGAACCAACGGAAGAGGAAGACCTCTGTCTCTCTCTCTCACTGTCCACTCTGCTTGTCAAAAAAAAAAAGAAAGAAAATAATAAACATCAAATCATTCACCTATAATGACATCAACATATATAATTTGAAAACTTTGTAATGAACTCCTTTAAAAAATTAATAAAAAAGCATTTTAATAATGGTATACTTGTATATTTACCTTGGGATGCACAATGATTTATACCAGAAATCTCCAAAACTGACTTATGTTGAACTCATAGAAAACATTTTCTGGTAACTGAATATACAGAATATTGGGGAAATGGTTTCCATTAAATTCATCCAGTGTGTATCTAAGGTTCTGGGTTTACAAAATACCACCTGTAGAATTTAGGATTAGTATCCAACAAAGAAGTATAAGGCATGATATTCTCTCCAAATAACTTAACAGCCCTCAGACCAGATGTAAAACAATTCACAGCAGGTGACTAGGTGCCAAGAAAGTGACACAGCTAATAATTTCATCTTTACTGGCTTTTTTTTTGTGTGGTCATAATTCTTCATGTATCATTTTTTTCTTAATATAGAAACATTATATTTGAAGTTTTCAACTTCCAGAATTTATTTGCCTAAAAGTAACAATTATTTTTATATAGTATAACATATGTATAATTTTATTGTCTAAAAAGGAAATTACATGGGACCAGCACTATGACATAGTGGGCAATCTGTAGCACTCACATTTCATGTGTCTCATATGGGTATGGTTTTAGTTCTAGCTGTTCCACTTCGAATCTGGTTCCCTGCTAATGATGTATAAAAGCAGGGAAGATGACCCATGTGCTTGGGCCTCTGATACCTATGTGTGAGACACAGAATGAGCTCTTAGATCTTTGCTTTGAAGCCATTCGGGGAGTGAACCAGCAAATGGAAGATTCTCTCTTTTCCTCTCTCTGTTAACTCTGCCTTTCAAAGTAATTTAAAAAAAAAAAAGATACTACGACACTATTGGATATTTGAAAGAGCTTGGGTATTATGGGCTAGGTGACATCTCTGCAATAGAAGCTTCTTTTCATCCTCTTTCTTGCACATCAGTTACAGTCTTTGATTTGTTTCCACAATTCGTCATAAAAGAAAGAACATGAAGTTCTTGGTGCATTTCTGAATTCAGATATTGTGGACATTGGGTGAATTGCTTGATAAATTGTCTGGCTCCTCATAGGTAAAATGGGATGTGTGCTTTGTTGTATTAGTGCATTTACAGTTACTAAAACAAAATACCTGAGGCAGGTAGAGCATAAAGAAAAGAGAATTATTTTGCTCAGAGTTTTGAGACTGAAAGTCTGAGATGCAGCATGCCCCATCCATCTGGCCTTGGGGGAGAGACCATTGACTTTGTCGCTTGATGGCAGACGGTATCATGGAGGGAGTATTGTGCAAAAGAGAAATCATATGGAAGACAGAAAGTGAGAGGAATGTTCAAACATCAAAATTGCTCTTTTAAGTCACTCACTCTTATGAGAACAACTAATTCATCAGTACTAATCTCATCCAAAGCAGCTCCCTCAATAACCTAATTACCTTGTAGAAGTCTCGCCTCCTAAAGACTTCACAACCGCCAAGCATCACCACACTAAAGACCAAATTTCCAACACATAAGCCCTTAGGGAACAAACTCAGACCTTAGCAAATCTACAGTGGAACCTGTAGTAAACGCCCAACGAATACCTCATGGTGAAGCTTTGAGTGAGTGTTTATTTCCCACTCAGCCCATGGTAAAAATCAGTGACAAATGCCTGTACTCACCTGAAGGATGCCTCCTCTGTTCCTGGGGATAGCTGCTGAGAGTAGTTTCAGCACAGATCCCACTTCCTTGTTTCTTTGTGATTTAGGCTTGCTTAAGCATGCAGAGCCCCCATCAATCCCCAGAATTATGCCATTAAGGACACCATCTCTTGAGTGAGTGCTATAGAAATTGTTACACTCAGTGTATGGAAAAACCTCTTCCAGCAAGAATGAGAGTCCCTGCATTTTTTACTGGGGCAAACTGGTGGGAAGACCAGGGAAGTGCCAAGTTGTGGCACAAGCTACCGAGGAGCTACTGTTTAACATCACATTAACTCTCAGATGCTATCTCTTAGAAGCAGACCATCAAGAAGCCACTAGAAGAATGTGCAGTAAGTCTCATTGGAAAGAACAGAGGGCTGCCTTTTCTAATCTCTTTTCTGCAATGCTTCTAGGTCAGAGTGTACATGTCCACTCAAAACCAACTCTTGGCTTTGCATCGAAGGACAATTACACATTCCTAGTCCCTGCTGCTTCCAAAGCTAGGAGATTCCCAGGGTACAGTCAGTCAACTAGTAGCTGTAGAAATTGAAGTGCTCAATGCATTCCATAAACCTCTTCCAGGAACAAACAGAGTTGAATTTCTGAACTCCTCCTAGAGAATTAAGCTCTTGGAAGTGCTTGCATGCCTATACAAAACTGCTACTCTTTTCTGTGGTCTACAGAAACTTCTGTTTGCCTAGTCTGAATCTAAGAGGTTTCAGACAGAGTACCGGGGCCGGCACTGTGGCGCAGTGGGTTAAAGCCCTGGCCTGGGGAACTGGCATCCCATCTGGGTGCTGGTTCTAGTCCCAGCTGCTCCTCTTCCTGTCCAGCTCTCTGCTATGGCCCAGGAAAGCAGTAGAAGATGGCCCAAGTCCTTGGGCCCCTGCACCCACATGGGAGACTGGGAAGAAGCTCCTAGCTCTTGGCTTAGGATAGGCACAGCTCCAGCCATTGCGGCCATCTGGGGAGTGAACCATCGGATGGAAGACCTCTTTCTCTCTGCCTCACCTCTCTCTCTGAATTTCAAATAAATAAATATATCTTTAAAATAAAAGACAGAGTCCCCTGGGATGGAACCTGTAAAACCTAGGGTCACCTTATAAGCGGATGCACTACTTCTAGAAGGATTAATGGACCTAGAGCTATCACTGGGGTGATCTGGGAGAAGGCTCAGGAAATGTCAGTCTGCTTTTCCTGGCTATTTTTTGTCTCTCCCTTCAACAACCTGATGCAAGCTAGTTAGAAGCCAGAGGGTCAAAAAGCCCCTAAAAGAGCTCTGCCATAAATGCCTTCTAAGGAGACAAGGAGCTGCAGTGTTTTAAGGACTTTGTCTGCGTTGCTTCTGAGAGCTCAAGGCCCTGGAAATGTTTCTGAAATTCATATAAAGCTGCCTTTTTTCTGTGATCTGCAAGAACAAATTGGATGTGCTTAGTTTGCTCTGCTCCTAGAGCTACAGAGGTTAGGATGCTGTCCTTTTGGTGAAAATAGTAAACGCTGGGGAATCAATGTGTGGACAAACACCTGCCAAGAGCAATTAATAAATCTGTACTTATCCCTGGGATGAGACAAGGGAACTCACAATGTACAGATCTGCTTCTGAAGCTGCCATTGGGCTATCGTTTGTCTCCCTTTAACTACATGACAAAGTTAATTACAAGCCAGGCTCCCCAGCAACCCCTGGAAGAATGTGTGAGGGACAGGGAGCTGCAGGAGTTTGGAAAGCCCTTCTTCTGCACTACTTCTGGGGGAAGAGCTCCCTGGAAATGCCTACACACCCATGTAACACCAATGCTTTTTCTCTGTGGTCTAGAGATACTTGTTCATGTCTAATTCCCTCCACTCCCAGAACCAGGAGATTTAGGATGTGGTCCCTCAGGTGGAAGCTGTAATAGTTGAGATGCCTAAGGTGTGCACAAACTCCTTCCAAAAAAATTAATAGAACAGACCTAGAATCACTATTGGCAAGACTGAGATAGGCAATTATCTGATCTAACTTGCAGAAGCCAACACAGAGAGTCAAAAAAAATTAAGGCACAGGGATATATATATATATATATATATACACACACACAAAATATATAAACAATGAAAGAGTAAGTTAAATCCACAGAAACTATTCCCAATGAAAAGGACATAGTGGTTTACCTGACAGAGAATTCAAAATAACAGTCAGAAAGATACTCATCAGAGTCAGGAAAGCACCAAAGAGACAGAACAACAAAGAGCTAGAAAGTATTAAAAAGTACCAAGTAGAAATCATAGAGTAGAATATCATCAATTGAAAATCAACCTGCTTATTATCACATGTCCACACAGAGCAAGAGAGAGGGACAAAACACATTCAATAATAATAACAAAGAATTCCCAAGGTTGGGGAAGAAAACAAATCCTGATCCAGGACACCCATAAGATACCAAACAAAAATGAACCCAAAGAGACCCACAGCAAGACATAATAAAACCAAAGTATTAACGTTAAAGACAGACTGCCAAAAGCACTAAGAGGAGAGGGGACTTTTTTTTTAAAAAAAGATTTATTTTATTTATTTGAAAGACAGAGTTACAGAGAGAGGTAGAGACAGAGAGAGAGGTCTTCCATGCACTGGTTCACTCCCCAGATGGCCGCAACGGCTGGAGCTGCACCGATCTGAAGCCATGTGCCAGGAGCTTTTTCCAGATTTCCCACGTGGGTATAGGGGCCCAAGGACTTCGGTCATCTTCCACTGCTATCTCAGGCCATATCAGAGAGCTGGATTGGAAGAGGAGCAGCCAGGATTAGAACCGGCGCTCATATGGGAGCCAGGCCAGGGCTTTAACCCACTGTGCCACAGCACCAGCTTCGAGAGGGGACTTTTATATGCAAAGAAAACCTCAAAATATTATTACTGTATCTTCAAGGGAAACCTGACAGGCCAGAATGCAGTGCAATGATATTCAAAACCTTGGGGTGCGGGCTGGTGTTGTTGAGCAGTGGGTTAAAGCTCCCAGCCTGCAGCACCGGTATCCCATATAGGCACTTGTTCGAGGCCTGACTGCTCCAATTCTGATCCAGCTTCCTGCTAATGTATCTGGGAAAGCAGTGGAGGATGGCCCAAATCCTTGGGCCCCTGCACCAACATGGGAGACTCAGAAGAAATTCTTGGCTCCTGGCTTCAGATCGGCTCCACTCTGGCTGTTGCAACCAATCTGGGGAGTGAACCAATGGAATGAAGACTTCTCTCTCTCTTCTCTCTTCTCTCTCTCTCTCTCTCTCTCTCTGCCTCCGTCTGTAACTCTTTAAAATAAATAAAATAAATACTAAAAAAAAAAAAAAACTTTGGTGGGCCGGCGCCACGGCTCACTAGGCTAATCCTCCACCTAGCGGCGCCGGCACACC